TAGTTAACATCATAGGGATTTTGCCCCAAATTCTAATATAGAAATTGTGCCGATCTTATCCGGATCAGCAATTAAATAATTTTTGATTGTATTTTTGTTACAAATATATTTTCTAAATCTAATATATATAGTAAATAGATTTTGTATTAGTTTTAGAAGATTATTAGATTTAAAAAAATAATTACTACAGTCGCCTCTCTCTAATCCGAACCTTAATAAATTCCGTGAGAACCGAACGTAAAACCCTAGAACATTTATAAATTTTATTATAAAGTTCGGATTAGCAATATAATATCTCTTTGAGAACTGAATAGCTAGAGTTGACTGTAGTTATGTGATTACAAATTAATATGATTGGCTAGATATATTTATTATATACAAAAACATTATCTATGCTAATCAAATCAATTTAAATTATTTGACAAACTCAATATATTATAAAGATATAATTTGTTGAGTATTAGTTATCAAAAATAACAGATTATCAGGTTTGTATTATGAAACGGGGATGGTGGATCAATCTTTTATCAGTTCAACAGTTATCAGCTTCAACAGGATTGATTTAAGAGGGTATACTATACAATATTTACTACAGTCGCACCTCTATATAATCACCTCCTCTATAATCACATTGTATAAAAACCTCTCATTATCACATTTTGTACTCAAGGACAATTTACTATTAAACTTATGAAAAACCACCTCTATATAAGCACAACCTCTTTATAAGCACATTTTTTAAAAAAATTCTTAAGTAAAAAAACGTGTGATTATATAGGAGGTTGACTGTATAAAGATTTATTTTAAATTTTTTTTTCTCATGTTATTTTCAAGCAGATTATGATTTATTAAAATGATCTTCAATAATATGTGTCTTTGGCTATTATTAAGAACACCATTACCACCAGGAGATTTGGGATATGCTGTTCTTTTTTATTAAGATTTATTGATTCCGAAAGAGGAGGTCTTGATTAATGTATGCATCCCCTAAAATACTACGATCAGTATAGTTAATACAGAGGATATTGGTTATAAGTCTTGTCCAGATTTGAATTGTTTATTGAGTTTATCTTTTAAATTTTTTTTAATATCAGAAATCTAATAAACTATAAGGAAGTTTTTCTATTATTATTATTATTACACGCAACTCAAGAGAAAAGAGGTGAATATCTCTAATATATTTTGATTCACATAAGTTATTTTGGAAAATTTTTTTAAAACCTGACCCGTCGCGTAACGACGGGTCTAATATCTAGTTATCATGTAACATCCTTTGTTCATTATAGTACTGTAGTAATTATAGTATATATAAATTTATTAAACCACATACAAATGTATATAAATATTTACTTTTTATTTATTTATTTAGCGTATACTGTATCATATAGCGAACCTTAATTAGTATATCTATTAATTGTTTTTGCCCTGAATTTTATAGCTACTTATATTATTTTTAATTGATTGTTAATATTTAACATTTTTGTTTGTGCTATTGCTTTCTCCTCTTTTATTGTTATAGTTATAATTAACCTTTAAGAAAAACTCGATAATAACACTGTCACAAAACAGCTTTGGACAAGCATTTTAGACAGTACGATAAATGAAAAAACTTTTATTAAGATAACTTATTTAAGAGCTAATTTACGTAAGAACGGCGGTATTTTTATAATAAAATTTTGGGCAAATTTAATATAAAATTTATATATGACCCGAATCTGGAATTCCTTTCTAAATATATAATTGTAAAGAAATTTTATATAATTGCCGAGAGAAAAATTAAGATATATCAAGAACTACTTATTGACTTTACTACTATTAGAATCAGAAAAACAAGCTTTACAAACTTTTATTAAAAACTAAAAAAGGTTAACTTAATAAAAAAACAACTTTACTTAGAAAGGACTACCAGATTTGATTCAAGTATGATATAAATTTTATATATTAAATTATCCCCAAATTTTACTATAAAGCTACTATAGTGACTCTGCCGTTCTTACACGAATTAGCTCTTAATCCTATTTAAATTCTAAATAAAAAATGTTAAAATTAATAGAATACATGAACATATATTTTCACATCAATTTATTAATTATAGGAACAGAACATGCCAAAAAAAAAAAAATCTTTGGACATCAAAAACAATATCAACTGCTTTCAAAATTACCTTGGCATACTCCGAAATAACGTACAGATTGTATTATTTCGATCTTATATAAGTATAATATATAAACTAGGAAATTCTGAAAGTATTTAGCATTCACATACAGTACTCAACTATTCAGTTTACCGTAACTTATGGTTAAATAACTGATAATCATGAGAGAATATTGAATCTACAAACTAAAGTTAAATTCACACTTTTGATAATCTAGAGTATCATTCTATATAAGTAAATACTCTAAGCTTCTGACAAAGCTATAAAGACGAGATCTTTCCAGTTCCAAACTCTAATGACAATAAAATTTTTGAAGCGGCTCGATATAATATTTTATTCTTTGTGACTATATGATTTCCTATTGTTATAGATCTTTAAGCATAAAATGCACATTCATGATTAGCAACAAAACAATGATTTTGTGTAAATAATAAACAGTTGTGCATTAGTCATTTATCATTATGATGGAATATGTATTAGCGTTAGAGAATTATATAAATTTCTGAAAATAAAATTCTGTGCATCGTTCTCGATTTTTTAAATCTCTTGGCATAAACTTGACATTAAAATTTAATTTTAATCTCTTGGCATAAACAAATGTATACTGTATATTTTTTGTGTAAGGATCTAAACATCAAGGAATCAAGTTCTCATATACCATTGTTAAATGCATTTTATACACAAGCCACGTTAAATCAGGTTAATCCTTTTTTTATGCTAAAAATACTATATTTAAATGTTCCTTAGGTTGCAAACCAAAAAAATTCACAAACTTTTTATCAAAAATTGGTGTAAAAATCAAAGGAATTTAATATGCGTCATTTAGAGTGACCCTTATCGTTATTATATATATTTAAAACAAATTGGGTTAAAGCATAACGCGTGTAACGATAATTTTTTATGGCGCAGGAGAGATTTTATTTATTTATTTGTGGATGGCTATTATGGGATCTTTTAATGGTAACTTTGTCATCACTGACTACTATTTTTTGTGAGTGCCTACGTATAATGAAAGTTTAACAAAAGAATTTAAATATTATTACTTATGCATTATTAAAGCATTCAAAAGTTTGTCAATAAAAAAGGGAATTTGGATCGAGTTTTACTCTTGGCGCTCCTGAACTGGCTTTCATATTTGATATTAACGGAAATCGTTATCTATTATGTTCGATAAAAATACCAAAGATTTACGTGGAGAATTATTGTACTCGAGATCTTGACTATTTTTAGTTAATGAGGTTTCCCTTAAGATTGTAACTTTAAAAAATTGGTAATACAAATATACTTACTAACAAAACTCGAACAAATCGCAAAATCCAAAACAATTGCCATTTATAAAAATTTAAATCAAAAAAATTAATCTTGACTTTTTTTGCAAATATATATATATTATATATTACTATAAAAATATATACCATTTTTTTTTTTAGATATACTTATTAGTTTCGCGAGGATTTGGGATTTGGGCGTGGACAAATCCACACTATAATAATTTTGGGATTTTGGCGGCAAGAATAAATACAAAAAAGGTCTAGCGTTAGTATCCGTTAAATTTCATGTAATGTAAGACCGGGTATCTGAATATCCGTATCCCGATACTTGAAGATCCTAAATTATTTATAATTATCTTTAGTTACACAACCATTGTTTAGTTTTTGTTATATGAATACAATTTTACGACATTATGCAGCTTTCTTGTACACGTACTTCTACGTTAATAAACTTTAAAAGAGAATTAGATTTACATATTATATACAGTATATATACTATAGAAGAGTGATATTAAATTTATATTAAATTTATATTAATTTATATGAAATTTATATTAAATAAAATTAATTACAACTTTTATAATCTTTCACGATAACAGGTACAATACCACCGTATCTATATTCAATCCTACATTTAGTTCCATTCTTGAAATGCCAATTATACAGGATCAATGTAACTAAAAAATATAATCCGGTACTTGCTAAAATGTGCCAAAGGGCGTGCAATTGAGGATTAAAAGGTAAGAAAGGTCCATTCAAGTAATCACAAAAATGCATATCTATTAACCAAACTGCAACTCCCATCGCATAAATAATTACTCCTTGTTCAAAAAGATATTTTACAGCAGGATGAGATGATCTTTTTTTAAAATATATACGACTCATTAAAAATAATAAAGCAATTTCCAATAATCCAAACGAAAGATGAAAGAAAATGAATTGTAATGTGCCTTTTGCTATCGTCACTGCAAGTGTACAAATTATTGCGCAAATTATTTGCACGACAGGAAACCATTTTCCCGGATGACCATAATTGATCTCTATTAGAGGATGTAATAATGTTATGGCTGTCCAAACCATTGGAACCTGATTTTATAATATGAATCGAATATATAAATATATATATATATATATGTACACACATATTTATATAAAGAATGAATATTACCTCATCGAGTGCTTGCATTTCACTTGTAAGAGTTCCATGAAATAAAAAACTTCCAGTTCCAACGATGGAAATCAACCTAAATGCGAGTTTAAATCGAAAGCTATTACAAGGATTTATTCTCGCTCCCACCTCACCAAGTATTATCATGGCAATGCTTGACACAGAATTCCAGAATCTATTAAATAATAATAATAATAATAATAATAATAATAATAATAATAATAATAATAATAATAATAATAATTGTAATAATAATAATAATTGTAATAATAATAATAATTGTAATAATTGTTAGTATTATTAATAGTAATTATAACTATTTCGTAGCATACATACTCTGCAATATAATGTGAATGTACATAGTTACTTTCACACCAGTCCACAGAACTGGTTATCGGCCAAAATCCTTCTCGAGACATGAATTTTTTAGAAAAAAAATAAATAAAGTAATAATAATACAGTAATATAAAATTTTTAACGTTATTAAAAAAAGAAAGGAAAAAAAAGAAAAAAAAAAGGGTATGAAAAATTATTGGGGGTATTTATCAATCAAAAACTAGTATCGTATCACGTTCTATGTTAGTTAACGTATAATTATATCAAATACCGATACGTACAGTAATTTAAAATTAAATGTTTCTTTGGCTAACCCGGTTAAAATAAATAAACGATGTACAGGTAAGTACGTACGTGCGTGCATATCTGATATGTATATATTAGTAATTGTTCGCATAAAATATCTAGCACATCTCATAATGATCATAATTAATAAGTTCACGCTTATTTTTTGCATTCTTTCGGATTGTCGTTATTGTATCCTTTCTAACAGATTAGCGAGTCGTGTGACGAAATATTTTTTTTTCCCGATTGCTGACATAAAAATCATCATAATTATGTCAATAAAATAAGTAACCTATTTCTTCAATTACTGAATTATTAAAGGATAACAATACTAAAAAGGTTATCTTATTTACCCTTTGTAACCTCTCCGATTATTGCACATATGCAACTTGAGCATTTGTTTTCGGTAAAAGGATGTCCCATAATTCCTCATATTGATCATATGAGTTCTATAATCATCTATTTACCACCAACAATGTCACATAAACTCGCAGAGTCGCAGTTTCTTATTAGAAAAATTAGTTGAGGGGTTGCGCTAGCGAAGTTTTAGATCAAATGTCTTTTGGTTGGTTGATTTTCAGTAGAAAACTTTACTATGTTATTTTTTGTATATGGTATTGTTACGACAAATCACATACATATCATCCTTTTTTCCTTTATCAAGTCTATTTTCCTATTTTTAAAAGGGTTATATTTGTGTAATGTTTATTTATATCGTTATTAATTAGTGAATTTTTCGGACAAATTTGGTTTTTTTTTTCCAAATTAAATTCTCGTTCAATAAAAATCTTTCGAAAATTATCAATGATAATGGCTTACAGTAAATAAAAAGAACCTATTTATAGGAATTCTTGATTTATTATAGTGCAAATCATATATTTAAATATTTAAATTTCGCAAAAACAATACTTCACACCAGTGATGGTAAATGAGTCATAAAAATTTTTATGAAAATGGCTTATCATTCTAAAATGACAATGTCATTTATTATAAAAAAATTTTATACATTTTTATAAATGACAATAATACGTACTAATACATATCTGTACGTATGCAAACATAAGCTTAATTTATATACCGGTAAATTCATAATATTATACGCAATCTTTCAGCTAATCTTTATTATCTATATGAGCTTTTTTTCGATTCTTATATTTTATAAATAGTTGACATAGTTGACATTATATTAAGTATATTGTGACAATAACAATAATAATTTGTTATAAACTAACTGTCTTTTACGTTCTAACAGAAAAAATTCTTCGTGAGAATTTTAATATATTATAATCCAAATTATAACCCTAAAAATTTATTTAACGCTAACCATAAATAGCTGTTAGAATTATTTTTTAACAATAAAGAGCATTGGTAATTGTCGCATCTTTTTATCGTGAAATCGGTTGGTAAAATTTGGGGTCTCTTTTTGAAAATATTAAAACCTTACTGAAATCTACATATGTATTCCCCTAGTTCGTGTCATTTACCCAGGTACTCATATAGAGGATATACCGTATTAATACTTCTATGTTTTTAATATTTTTTACTATTACATGCCCGGGTATATGAGTATGATACCCTCACACTTATATACTCGGGTATAAATCAAGATTTGGCATCCAAAATCGCCGCAGGGTACGGGGAGTACACATGTCACAGAAATACGGTAGTCTCATTGTCTGCATTAAAAATCATCCAAGTCACTTTTCAAGAGGTGAAAATTTAAAAATGGTATACCGTAAAGTACTGATTATGATTTGTACCTAGAGACTATTATATCTCAACAAAAGAAAATTTCCAGTTGGAGTAAAACACTGAAGACTGACAAAATTGAATGAAAAATATATACTGGGTATTTGTAAAGAACTTAATATGTTAATTGACAGTAAACATAAAAATTGAAAAATGGCGCATAACATATATACTTAAGTAGAATTGATACCACTTGTAACTGCTGTATTTGATGTAGGTAGAATCAGTCCACATAATGGGCGTTTCAGAGTTAACGTATTTTGAAAATAAGTGGGTGTTTGAAAAGTCCTATTTTTGTTTCGAAATCAGAAAATGAAAAAGGAGTTATCCAGAGATAAAATAACCTTTTTTTGATGATGTAGTATATCTTATTATATAAATAGGCTTACAAATAAAAATAATAGGATTTATAGATCGCTGATTACAAAATTAATACTTTACTAAAATCGTCATTTTTAGATCGAGTTTATATTATTAATAACAGGTCACAAAGAGGAAATTCTCATAGCAAATCGTAAATTTAGGCAAATTTAGTTTCTTACTAGCTCTATTAATGAAACTTTAATGAGGTTTTTGACGGAGTACTAATTTTTATATTCCATCAAAAAACCTTGTTAATGGTGCTAGCAAGAAACAAATTTTACCAAAATTTGCGATTTGCTATGAAAATTTCCTCTTGGCGACCTATATTATTAATAATTTACACTAGATCTAGAATATTTTGTCGCTATCGCAATAATAATGAACGATTTTAGCAAAGTATGTCATCAATTTAATTAGAAATCAGAAACCTGAACCTTAGGTCTGAAACCTTCCTGTTTTGAAAAATAAATGTAGGCAATGCAGTTTGACATCTTTTAAAGTTAATATTACATTATATTATTTATTAGTTGGGCGGCTTCCATAATTTAGTACTGTAGTGTATAGAAATAGGGACTTTGATGATACCGTATTTTCTCGAAGTAACGCGCTATTTGAATTTTGGCCCGAATTAAGCTTAATTCGGGCCAAATTTCGAAATTACACCCCTGCGCGTTATTTCGCGAAAATATAGTAATACTATACGGTATTATTTTTTTGTACTTAAGATTTCTATAAAAACACTGATTTAACATAAATTATGAATGCCGCCTTGTCATATCACATGCTGTGTTGAAATTCGTTGTGCACGTATTGTTTTTTGCACAGCATATTTGTTCCGAATTTTCAACACCGATTACACGATTTGAAAAAAATTTGGATCTCCCAATAGTAGCTTCACAGATCAATATGGAGGCAGTTACGCTATTAGAAAAGATAAATCATATGAATGCTGTGTTGGTTAGCTACCCTGTAAATTTACTCACATTAAAAAGATATTAGAGTTTCAGACCTAAGGTTTTTTATTTGAAATTTCAAACCAAAAATAGGACATTTCAAACTCCCAAATAAGTTAACTCTAAAACCCCAATTATGGATTTCTGGCTTATTTATCTTATTGATTAATAAAAAATATAATGACTGTAAATGACAAGTATAAAATAAATGATTTGTCATATGACAAGATGTCTTTTGACAATATGCCATCACTACAATTCTGCCTAATTAAGTATTGTTTTTACAAAAAATCTATAATATTTACCGAGTACGTATTACGTAGCAATTTTTTAGAAAAAATATATTAAGAATTTCGATAGTTAATATTTGATGTCTATCGCTATATACAGTATGAGCTTTTTTGGAATTGGGCCTAAATTAAGAACCCGAATTACTATTGAATTATCGTATAAAACACATGACGCATATACCCCAAATCGAATAAAACTAATATATAGTTATCACGTCAAACCCATCTCCTTCTGTAAAATTTATCAAGGTTAAATCATTTAGGTTCATATTAACAGTCATTATATGTGTCATAAATTTTAGGGTAGTGAAAAATGCGCTGTAATGATGGTTTTTTAAATAGTTAATATGATGTGTTTCGTTACTGTTTAAAAGTACAGATCAGTTTGATTATCAATCATGATCGGTTAATTTTTTAATTTGAATTTAACAAATATTTTGTAACAAATCCGTAGTTTATATTGATCGTTCATTATTTGTTATTAATTTCACGCGCATATGGTGCATACGTATAGTTAGTTGCTTATCATCGTTTATAATCGTTCATGCGATTATCCCGATGCGATGAATCATCATTAAGATGATCAATTATAAAATAAAAGGTGTAAAAGTTAATAATTTAAGTTTTTTAAAGTTATAAAATATTTAATATATAGGATTTTAGTATATTACTGGTATTATACTTTTTTAAAATAGTTATTTGTTAATATAACAAATTAAATATTTTTTTTAATAAATTAAAGATTAAAATTTTGTAAAAAATTTTTTTTTGTTTAAAAAATTTAATTATATAGTATTTATTATTCAGAATATTGTTTGACAATTCTTTGTTTTATCTGCATTTAAGAATTGCTTTTTAATTTCATCTACTATACATCATCTAAACTTTCAAGCTTTTGATCTATTCTTGAAATTTGATATAAACCTCAAAAGCAATAGGCTGCTTTTCTGAATTAGAATCTATGCTAATTTAATATAGCAATCCAGGATAGACCATTATTCTTAGCATATATCTAAGAAAAGACCAAGATCAAATAGATAATCATTAAAAGGCCTTTATAATTTCAAAGCATAAATATTAGCCTTTGTTGTAAATTTTTGATCTGATAAATCTCAAGAGCTATATAAGAAATAACATCTTTCGAAATTATTTTAATCTTTTAGACAATTCCAAATCTGAGAAATAAGATTGCATACTTTTACTAAAGCTGTTATATTGCAAATATTACCATTATGAAAGTCTTCATGAATATATTCTGCCAGTGATGGTAAATGACCTGAAATGACTCAAATGACAAATGACTAGTCATTGGGTCATTTCGAGACCCAAATGACTTAGAAAGTCATTTAACATATGTTAATTGATATTCTGTCGCCATTTAGCCAATCAGAAGTTGCCGCCAAACAAAATTAAAATATAATCGATAATCGTAGCTATATATTA